CGCTACAAAACGTTCATGTATCCCGGATAAAGCCCTTCGTCCAGCGCTCCGACCATGCCCCAACTTCATCACCAACCTAAAGGCCGGCCAGGAGGCCTCCATCTTCTTCTACGGGGAGGATATTGTAACAGCGCAACTTCATCGCCATCAACATCCACACTATCATTACCATCCACAACAGCGCATGCACCGCCTGCACGGGCGGTGTGTGTCTCATGCTAGAGCTCGCGGGGCAGAATTGCTCCAGGGCTCGGCCAGTAAAGCCGGTGTTTTTTTATCTCTACTTTGTCTTTCTTACAATATATATATATATATATATATATATATATATATATATATATATATATATATATATATATATATATATATGTATTTTTTTTTTACAGCGGTGTAATAACAGATGATTATACAGCTGTAAAAAAAAAAAAAAGTATGGATAGTGGTGCAGCTCGACACTTGAACACTCAACACAATTTCAAGGGGAAAGGGGGGGGGGGGGGTGCAATGAGAATACTGAGGATTCCAAAGAACTGCAATAACAATTAAACAAAATATAAAAAGCGACACTGGCAAGCCTCCTTGGGATTCTAGTAAAATAGTAACAGTTACTCGGAAATCCAAACAAAATATATTGAAATTTGATGCATGTTCCATTCCATTAATTTTATAATTTAAGATCATGCAAGCTGTGTGGACGTAGTAATGTTAATATTTCGAAAACTATTGTGAAGCCGCTTGTGTTTACACACATCTCAAAGGGTCGGAACTTGTATTATTGACTCATACAGCGCGCTCATTGTACCATAGATTAATCGATGAAGAAGTGAACAAACTCACGCGCACGCAGCAGGCGTCTTGCATAGACGAAATGGTAGACGAAAGTAACCGAAGCTCAGCATACGATAATGCGACAGAACGATGACTGATGCATTCCTCTCACAATATTTTTGTTCTGAAAAGCCCGAACTTCACTCGCCCTCTGCTCTCTAAATACGCCTCAAATCTTAGTCTCATCAAGGATGAGGGGAGGCGGGGGGGGGGGGGGGGGGGGGGGGGGGGGGGGGGGACTTAAACACATTGCAGAATCTAACGCAGGGAAGCGCTACGTTCCCGTAGCCTTTCATGTATACAACGTCCCGATTTCCCCACTGTACGCCTAGTCGCAATTAAGAGAACGGAATACAATACAGAACTTTCGCTCGACAGTGAAAAAACCAGTTCAGGTCATGGAACCCTCATGATTTTTTCTCCCTGAAATACGGACTTTCCTACATAGCTGAACTAATTTACTTTTAGCTGCTAATGAAAGTTTAACATTACAGTGTCCCGCCACATTTTTTACGTTGCTTCAAGTGCCATGTAAATACACGAGCATCGTTGGTTTAACTGATCTTTTCCCAGGAAACCGACGGGCCTGACCTTTCAATATATTTAATAATACTCCCGATGCCATATTAAGCACCCGATGACGAAACCTACACCTACGACAGTTGTCCACTGTCGTAGGTGTAGGTGTTCCCCCACGTTTAGGGAGATTAAGAGTTTAAGATTTGAATTGCAGAGCTAAAGCTACAAAAAGTTTTAGGCGCCTCGGATCAAATTATTATGGACGAAGGCATAAGTTGTCGTTTTATCGCATTAATGAATGCTGAGTTTGGTTTATTTTCTTAACAAGGGTTCACGGTAATTGTATGGGGTTTATGGCCCCGTTTTTTTGTGCTTTTTAGTGATCGCACTAGAAAAAAAAAAAAGAGTATAAACGCCTTGAAAGAAATTGATAAGAAATCTTTTAGTTGTGAGTAAACGCTTACCAGTGGGAAGTGCCTCAGTGGTTAGCGGCGAGAAGGTCATTTGTAGCCGAGTTATATTTGATTCTAACATAAAGTGGGATATAAAAAAAGAATCTGCTTTCATTGACACCAGATTCGCCTCGTGTTTGCCAATTATCCTGGTACGGGAGGACAGGGATTCTTTATAATACTGAGGACTTAGAGGTGGCCGCACTCGACTCCGCGATGACCGAAGTGGTTGGGGTAGCGGTACGATTTACGCCTAGGTGATATTTAGCTACATGTCTGCTCGAATGACTGAATGAAGCAGGACTGCGAAATATCCAGCCTAAGGGTAGTATCGTCACCGGGAGGCGAGACTGCCATCAGTGTTCTTTATAGTCTGTTTCAACATCATATCTACAGAAAAAGTTCCACCTCAAGCCCGCATTCATTGCCTTACGTCGTGCTTTGGCCACGCGTGCTCATGAGGCTCCGAAGTGTTGCCGAAGGCTGAAAGCTCGCGCTGTAGCCAGAGCGTCTTCAGCAGAACAACATGCCATGGAAGAGCGAAATCAATCTTACGGAGGCAGCTCAGCGAATGACGATGCCGGAACATATATTTAGACCAAAAAAACACAGTCAGAGTTGTGACATTAAGCAATGCAAGCATGACGTTTGGCTTTGCTTAATTTCACAACTCAGACTGCGTTTTTTTTTTTTGGTCTAAACACATGTTTCGGCATCGTCATTTGCTGAGCTGCCTCCGTAAGTTGCGGTGATTGGCTCTCGAGTGTTGTGCGGGAAAGTAGACGCACGGGCGATTTTTGAGAGTGTATATGAGAAGATTTGAGAAATCTGTCGTTTGAATGCAAATGTTGTCGACAACTATTATTAAGGGCTTTGTCCCATCTGTCTCATCAGTACGGAATGAGGTAAGCTAAACGACTAAAAGAGGGCACCTTCACAAGTTGAATGTAAACCTGTATGCAATATCAACCTGATTGTCATCTTTTTTACACGCTGCAGCAGCAGCGTTTTATGGCAACCCATAATCAGATAACTCTCACGTGATAAGACGCTGCATACTCTATACAGGACACTGCTACGATATTTTTTCAAGTACTGGAAACGGCTTATTTTTGGCGGGTTCAATATTTCGCGCTTTAGGTGAAAGCTGGAGTTCTGGAATAATTCGCGGGTAATAATTTTCGCGACGTGGTGGGATCTTAATATAGATTCCAATGTGTTTACATTGTACAGGAATTGTTCGCGGGACCAATTTTTCGCGAATTGTAGGCGATTCGCAAAATTCGCGAAATTTAGGTCCTCGTGAAAATTAAGTCGTTTACAGGATATCTCTCCGTTACGAATGTACACTATCTCAAACATTTTAGGAATTATGTTGTTTGCTAGCCTGAGATTGTAATTACGAGGTTGGTCGAAGTCATGAACGCAGTCATAAAATAAATTTGCTTCGGAATAAGAGAAATAACGTTTGGACACATGCATTACATAATTTAACGCGCATTTAAAGTGGATAATAATTTATCATCGAATAAGCCAGGTAGGGACTCCTTGCTCAAAGGTGGCCCATGTTGTTCGCTATTCTCCTGTTTTGTGCCCATTGAAACAAAAACGTCATTTCCAGGTCCGCAGGTGAACTGCAGTTTATGGTTACCCTGGCGCCTCCTGACATAATGTTATTCTGTGCTATACTTTATTTCACCGTAAAAAAATGCTGTTTCACACACTTGCGACTGCTTACAACCGCGTGCCTTAAAACACCTTAAAATATCTTACGACGAGAGAACGGGCTGGTGCCATATATTGGGTAGCCATGAAACCCTTGACATTTTCTTATATTTCCTACTTTTTTTCGCACGTTGTTCTTTCTTGATTGGCCTGAAAAACTTCTGACAATGTTATAAAGAACCATTTCTCATAGATAGTACATACATTTGATTTTACAAATACCGCAGAACCTTCGCTGTGGTGAAATACAGTTCCAGGGCCACCTCATAGGTGGCCCCGTCGTGCCGGTGTGTTTTCTCGTTGTAGAAGATCCGAAGAACTCGAGTGTAAGCAAACGCAATTCTGTGAACGGGCCTTAAGAGTACAGTCAAGGGTCAGATCTCGAAGACGTAAGAACATGGACACGCCAAATAAAGTCTTAAAATCACGGCGAATGCATTGTACTTGATTGGTTGATGAGAGGAAACTCACAAGAAAATGGCCAGCGCCATTACATTGCGTATTTGACACTGCTCGATTAATTTTATTGGGCAGTAGTGCAGGCTGCGCCCCGAGTTACAGTGAAACAAAGTATTGTAGAAAATTGGGGGGACATAATACGTCTTGCAGGTAACGGCAGAAGTTCAAAATGATCATTGTGTCACGGTTGAGCCGGTATCGATTATATCACATGGGTAACCAGAGACGTTTGCAATTAAACTAAAGATGACGGAGATCTGTGCAAGTAGAAGAGGAGAGGACCTAAAAATAAGGCAAAACGGTAGAAAATAAAATGACTGAGATGCAGATGAAGTTATGGGAGCAGATAACACAGGAGTTTCAGCTATTCCTGGGGCTTTTACACAACAGGGGATATTAAAACCAAGGGTTCCTCGGTAGTAAAATATGGGGCCTTAGTGCGCCGTGGCAAATGCCACTGAGAAATGGATCTGTCTTTCATGCTTCCATGCGTTACTGTTCAGTTATTTGGGCGGGTGAACGAAATAAACGTTGACCCACGTTGAGTTCCCATGAGTTCTCAGAAAGATCGCCAGAAGTGTTCTTCACTTGTATATTTTGCTCGATTGTCAGCGCAGCTCACGTTTGAATTGGCAAAGCGCGTATAGTGTTTTGTGTAGAAGATCAATAAAAAAAAAAAAAAAGAATGAGTGCAAACTGTTTATTCAGATGTTTTCACGCCGTTCATGATTATGGTTCGGCAACCCTAATGCTTCAACCTGATGGTGATTCTCCGGCCTATGATGATGGGAGTTGTCCTCTTCTGCTAGAAAAGCAAGAAAGACAACACAGTCAAACAATAAAAGCATGTCACACGACTATTTCGAAGAGTTAATATTTTTGAACCGCAATTAATTGCTTTTTGCATAATAGGAATTTAATTTTTTGGGGGGTTATAAAGAGATGGTATCATTAATAATGAAAGCAGACTTGGAAGCAAAATTACCATTTCCTAAGTTTTCGCTTGGCGATCGTGTGTCAACCCTTGAGAAGCGCTTTATAAGCACCGTAGGCTCCCGGTCCGTAGAGACCAAGACCACCGCCCAAACCACCACCAAGACCACCGCCAAGGCCACCGCCAAGGCCACCGCCAAGACCACCGCCAAGACCTCCAAGACCACCTCCAAGTCCACCTCCGAGACCCCCTCCCAGGCCGGCTCCACCAGATCCAGGACCGTATGCTCCTCCCAAGCCAGTATGGGCCACGACGTTTCCTCCGCTGGAAACTTTGTTAACGTGGTGGACACTCCTGACTAAAAATGCTGGCCCGGCCACCACCTTGGACAGTCCGGCGCCACCGCCGCCGTTGAGAAGGACAACGCTGCTTCCTAATCCTACTCCGTTGACACCGACCGGGCCGTATCCACCGTATCCACCGTATCCTCCGTATCCACCATATCCACCATATCCACCATATCCACCATATCCACCGTATCCTCCGTATCCTCCGTATCCGCCATAGCCAGTAATCACACCGCCGGAGAAAGCCGTGGCCAAGAGGGAGCACAGAAGGATGCTTGCAATCTACACAGAAATAATGAAGGCATAACACTTTAATAATGGTTTAGACAACATGTTGTAGCAACGCTGTAGGTACTGACTCACAGTTGCACAATTAGAGGGAATTAAATAGTACATGCATTGACTAGAAAAGAAAACGATACAAAACCATTATTGGAAAGCTTAATTTTTTTTAAAATCAGATTCGAAACTTTGTAGTTGGTAGGTGTTTACACTACACGTTTGGTTTGTGGCATTTAATGTAATAAAGGGGAAGTTCGACATCCACCATTGATCTTGAAAGTAAATGCTGACGTTTTCAATGGCATGAAATATTAATGTGACTAGAAGAGAGAAGGATCCTGACTACTATACTGTGAGTGTATGTCTTCATCGCAGTACGTTACACTTCGCTTGATAACTCTGATTATTATATTGTTATGATAAATAATAATATACATCTGGTGGTACTCTAGCTACGAATACAAGATGATTCAGTTTACTGAAATGCCGCAGTTACCGGTGTTTTAACTAGCATTTAAGAAGAAAAAAAAAAAAAAACAGTGACTACAAAACATTGCACTAAGAAATTTGCAACAGATGAGTAAAGAACTCAATTTATTTATTAATGCTTTTTACAAGTTTCTCAAGACTATAGCGTGCAAAGTTCCTGTTCATTAGCTAAAACCTGGCCTTATTAAGGCAAGTTGACTGTCAATGTTACTTTTTAACTCAATTAGTCTTAGACACTGACATCGATCCCAATATCTATGCCCAAGAAAACAATGCCCAATCGATAGCCCTTGTAATTCTGACAGAAGCGAGAATCATAGGGACACTTACCATGGTCTTCATGGTTGAATTCACTCGGAACTGATTGATACTCCAAGGAGAAAGCAGACGCTTTTATACCTTAAAGACGCGTCACTCCATAACACGTGCAAACGTGTGCTGCAGCTTTAACCTCTTCCTCAGTTTCCTGTTGATCTCTAGTCAACCAGGAAGCGAGTTTAGTCGACGGATATTTTACAGCTGAGACTATCAAGCGAGATCGAAGGCACGCTGAAAGCGATGCCCCAGATCAGAGTCATATGAATAGCATCCATCCACCTAAATCTCACTGAAGAAATCTAACCGCTTCTACTGTTTCGGTAATACAAGTAGGGGCTATCTATTTTGTTACCATTCGTATTGCCTATTTTGAGACGCGTTGCCTACTGGTAATACATAAAATTCCTACGTAATTCTTCCTTAAAAATCACTAGAATTATGACAAACTGTTACGATGACGAGACTTGGCGATGGCGAAACTTTCACAATTTCGACTGGTTGCGAAGGTTATTGTAACCGAAAACCTGCCAAGTCCGCCGCATTAGAATCAGTACGAAATAGAGCCACTCGCTTCATCCTTAAAAACTATACGCGTAACAGCATTACGACACTAAAAAAAAAAAAAAAAAAAAAAACACTGGGCTTTTTGCTACTAGCAGACAGAAGAAAAGCTGCCAGACTAGTCTCCCTGCACGCTTTGTATTACCACTGTCCATCAGAGAAAGAGTTGTATTGCCCGGCTGCGCATATCACACATCACCACCAAGCTTTTCAAATTTTCACCGCTTCAGTTATTCATTTTAGATTGGAACTCACTTCCAGAAACTATTGTAAATATTCAGGAATCATCCTGTTTCAGAGCTGCACTTTCAATTTTTTTAATACTTAGCAACCTCACATACCAGTGTTTTCCATTCCTTGAATATTTGTTGTGTATCTTATGTAAAGCCCTGGGCGCTTTAAGGGCATATAAAATGCAATTAAATTAAATAAAGTGTCAGCATACATAAGACTTTATTGAGCGTATTGGCGTAGATCTGTAAGCAATTAAATCGTAGGACAAACATGTACTAAGACAAACCTATGTGCGGCCGTAAGGACTAACATATTTGGCAGGCCTCGCATCATGTTGGCTGCCACTCTGAAATCCTACCTGGCACCGGCTGCATTTCTGCTGGTGTAAGAGTTGGACACCCAAGAACGAAGATTGCTCTTCATTTTTCTAGATTAGGGTGGAGTTTTCAAGTAACCAGCAAGACCATGGACGGCACGTAACATATCACGTTATATTGTTATTTGCTGCTGACAAAAACACAACATTGAGAAACTAATGCTCGTAAAGTAAATTGTGTTGCGCGTTGAAACACTTTTAATACGTTTGAATGCTGGAATATACAACATGTGTGTACACTAATGCTTCAAACCCCATTTAGACGGTCTGCTAAAATCGATTTCTCGGCGCGTCGCGCTGTGATTTGCTACAGAGGCGCGGCTAGGTGATGGTGTATCGGGCTCATCATGCACAACGCCTCGCATGCACTAGCCATGCGCAGTGCGCCCGGCGCTATCTAATAAATACCGCCTATACGTCCATTAAACTATCCTCTTATTGCTGCGTGGTTTCCGAAAACGGAACACACGAATGAACAATCAAAGCTCAAGCTTCTGCTCGAGAAGTATTTTTTTAAAGTTAACACCGGATCTCAAGTCAACCTGCTACTGTTTTCTGTATACAAAAAGCTGGGAGCGCCAGAAGTGTTAAAGCCGAATAGCACCGTCCTGCGAGCGTACACATGAGTCATAAGCAACTTTGGAACGACGTGCCAGAAGGAGACCGACGGAAACGCTGCTAAACGTGTCAAGTTCCTTGTCGTGAAAGATGGTCTCCAGGCCATATACTGGGACTGGACGCAAGCGAAGCCTTAGAAATTTTGCAGCGCACAGTGGACGCTATCAGTACTTCGGAGGAGTACGGGGCTACAAAGGTTTCAGGCACCTTTTTGAAGGTTTAGGCTGCCTAAAGCAGCTCTACAGCATGGTCCTGCAGCCTGGTACCGCCCCCGACGTCCAGCAAGTCCGGAGAGTGCCCCTGTCGCTCCGACAGCCTCTTTGCGACGAGCTCCAAAGAATGGAGCGAGAGGTAATCATCAAAAAGGAAGACTCCCCCACCGATTGAGTAAGCCCTCTGGTTTCGGCAAAGAAAAACGATGGCAGACTTCGGGTTTGCATGGACCCAAGAAGAATTAACGAGCATGTGAAGAGGCAGCATTACCCGCTTCCCAAGCGGGAAAACATAGGAGAACTGGCCGACGCCGTCTATACTTTAGCTGCCTAGACGCAAACTCTGGATTCCACCAGATCACACTGGAGACTGGACGAGCGAACTTCGCAAATATGTTCTTTCGCAACTCCTTTTGGCAGATATCGTTACCCCCGGCCGCCTTTTGGTATCTTGCTGACGCCAGATGTTTAAAAAAAAAAAAAAACACTGAGTCAAGTATTTGATGGTCTACCCGGCGTGCACGTATATATTGACGACATTCTGGTGTGGGGCGCAACGCGGCAAGAGCATGATAAACGTTTAGTGGCAGCATTGAAAGCTGCTGAAAAATCTGGTTTAACGTTTACCGCACAGAAATGTAGGTTCGGCTTAACGGAAATACAGTTTCTGGGTGATATCATCGGAGCGAAAGGTATTTCGCCCAACTCAAGGCTGGATGAGGCTCTGCTGGAAGTGCCTGCACCAAAGAACAAAGCAGGCATTCTGCGTATGCTGGGGGTGATTAACCACTTCGGAAAATACGTGCCGCACCTGTCTGAAAGAATGGGGCTGTTGCGAGCGCTTATCAAGTCTCATTCGGTGTTTGAGTGGGCCGAGAACCATGCGAGTGAGTGGAACAGTATCACGCAGATTCTTAGTACAACGTCCGTGTGAGCAATCTTCGATCCTCGAAAGGAGTCGAAGATAACGTGTGACGCAGCGAAAGATGGCGTTGGTGCAGCGAGTTTTCAGAGTCACGGCGGTCTCTGGTGACCAGTGGCATACGCATCTCGAGCGCTAACGCAAGTGGAACAACGTTACGCACAAACTGAAAAAAGCGGCGCTTATCATTTTGTTTGGTTGTGACAAATTTCACCAGTTTGTTCACAGACAGAAGGACGTCATTGAAACAGACCGCAAGCTGCTCCTGTCTGTTGCAATGAAAGGAATCTGTGACATGCCACCTCGCATACATAGGTTCTTTTTAAGACTTCTCAAATACGACTATGCCCTGCAGTATGTTTCAGGGAGCCACCAATAGTCTTGGCAGACATGCTGTCACGGGCGTCTCCCGTCGGTCAGGTCGACAAGGCTGATGCCACAGACGACGTGGAGGTACACGCGATTCAGCTCTTGGGTTCCATGGTGACGGAAGCAACGCAAGAAAAACTGGCCGAAGAGCTGCTCGGGACAACTACATGCTGACAAGCATCAGCAGCTTGTCAGCCGGCCAGCCACTCCAAGGCGAACTCAAACCTTTTGCATCGGAACTATTCGTGGTGAACGGAATACTCTTTAAGGAAACAAAAGTGTTTGCACTTAGAAGAATGCGATGAGAAATCCTACAAAGAATTCACGCCGGTCATCTCGGCTTACAGACATGCAAAGAAAGGGCACGACGCCTTGTTTTTTGGCCGGGTCTCAGCGGCGACATCACTCTGCCCATACAGAAGTCCTCTACGTGTGCAAGGTTCTCCTAGAAGCAACTATAGTACAACCACTACTAATGCATCCAGTTCCGAGCTGTGCATGGTGTAGGGTCGTTGTTGACATCTTTGCTTTTGGAAAAAATTCCTACCTCGTTGCCTTTGACGCATTTTCCAACTTCCCAGAGGTCGAGAAACTGGCGGACACAAGCACTCAGCTTCATGTTTGCAAGTTACGGCATACCGCTCGAAGGTTGCACCGACAATGGACTGCAGTTTTCCAACCCCGAAAAGGTATGACTTCAAACACGTCACGTGTAGCCCCACTTCCCTCAGTCTAATGGACTCGCAAAAAAGGGTGTGCAGGTCGTCAAGCGCAATCTGAAGAAAAGTGAAGAGTCAAAGGACGACGTCTGGATAGGCCTGCTGGCCTACCGCCTCTCGCCACTAGAAGACGGCCGATCTCCCGGGGAACTTCCTCAAGGCAGGCGTATTCGGACTAACATTCCGGATATTGGCGAAGTGACAGCCACTACAGTAAAGAAACACGTTAAAACTCGAAAAGGGAAACCTCTGCCACCGTTAGCTCAAAAGAACGTCGTGAGGACTGGAGACACTGCATGGTCGCCGAAAGCCAAGGTGGTTGATACGGCTGCTCTCAGGTCTTATCGTGTGTTGACAGAAGATCGCCGAATGCCGAGACGCAACCGGCAGCACCTGCTATATACCAATGAGCACTATGCTGAATCGGGTGACGACGACGACTGGAGTACGCCCGGTCTAGATAGTGGTGACCTCAAGCTACCATCATCCAACGAGGCGACGCTGCGACGACGTGATGACGACAGCCGCAGTACGTCGGGACCAGACAGCTGCCGGTCCAGACAGGGTCGACCCCGAGCAACGAGGTGACGTCGCAGCACTCAATGACGTCACATGTCCAGAAAACTTCGAATAGCGGCGCGGCACCGACGGACAACAGCAGCCTGGCCCCTGTTACGACGACGCAGCCCTTAGCACCGTCACGCTAACAGCAACCTTCAGGCGACGGTGTGTCAGTGTCACAAGCCAGGAAGTCGACTCGCACAGTCAAGCCTTCGGAGCGTCTTTATTATGACTTTGACTCAGTCAAGTGGCATGAACTTGTACTTTGTCTTTTGTTACCCGTGAAGAGATGTATCGGACTTATCATGTACAACTCCTCACATGCCAGTGCACTTCTCATGCCCAGTGCGCCTATCGCTATCTGCTAAACACCTCCTACCTCCAATGAACTATCTTCTTGTTGCTCTGCACAGCATGCTGTCGACTGCCTCTTTATTATCCTGATACAGATG